ATTTAAAAGTAACCTTCCCAACACTGGCTCTAAGAATCTGGAATTGAAATGCATGGAAACAAAAGCAGAGTGAAAGGAGTAAATCCTTTTTAAAACCTTATCTTGAGCCAAACTGGCAAACCTTCGAACCAGTTCTTATCAGACTGGTGATGCTATACATGCAGCGCTTATGTCCTGGTGACTACTGGAATTACACCTAATGAGGTTCATGCTTCAAAATAACTACCAATGTAAAACTTGTTCTTGGAGGACTTTGAGCATCCTCTGATTGACGTTTCTAGAATGTTTTAAGATTGAAAAATGTGAGCTCTGGAAATATAAAGCCCCCCTTTATCATTTGTCATGTTATTAATTATAAGGATGACAGTGCAAAAGCATGAGAATTACATAAATTAGGAAAGAAACTTGTTGGGTTTATCTAGGCACAAACCCGCTGGAACACGAGACACTCAATAACTGCACGGGCTGACTTCCCTCGCGAGCCACAAAGACAAAGAGCTTTGTGGCTCGCGAGGGAAGTCAGCCCAGGCCTTCACCTGTACTTAGCCAACTTTGACTGATTCCTACGCTACAGCCCTTTTTATTATCAGCAAGCAATCATTCATCAATATGCAATTACAAATACATGTGACATTCTTAAGCAGGCATATCTGAACAACATCAGTGTCTATATTCTGTGTGTGTGTGTGTATTTCCAGCTATACCATACATAGACATACAACCTTTCGATGAACTTAAACTGTGTGTGTGAGGTATGCAGAAAAGCAGAAGTAAGCATCTCGCTAAATGATAAGAACAGGAACTTGCAATAGGTCATGTCTCAGACGAACATTTAAAGTTGTGAAACAGAGCAGTGTAGTTCCTAAAGCTATAATGGAAATTATAACGTCGAGGCTGCTTCCTCTCACCTCATGGTACACAAGTGCACACAGAATCTTATCAGACCTAATAAGGATATGATTTTTATCAGCATACAGATGATTATATATTTCTAAGCATCAATGATTATATATTTCTAAGCACAAATGACAATATAAAAAACATCTCACTCTTACAAAACTAACTGTAGTTTGAAGTTACAAGTTGCTTACTTTGTCCACAGTTGCTATTAAACAACTTTGTGATGTTATGCTATCATGGCATTTTTATCGCTGGTATAACGCATTTTTTGAGGTGAAAAATGTTACTTCTAATAGAAGCACTGGATTGGTGGCTCATAGCAGGTTGTAATAAATCACCTGAGGCTGAAGGAAAGTTTGGCATTATCACTATTTCATACCATCTTATGTCATTAAATTTGGAAAACAATCACCAGATTTATAAATAATGAAGATGTTATTTAATGTCACTTATCCACTGTATAGAACAAATCAGAAAGCAGAAACACTTCCTGGTTTTTTGCTAGTGTTGCATTGTTTTGGGGAGGGGTTGTAGCATAGGACTGATGTTCAGTTAACCATTAGAGCACAAAGTCGCACCCTGATATAGACTGAACATGTGAATTCAGGTGAAAACAGGAGCCCCTTTTGTGACTGAGATTGAGATATTACATCAGTAGGAGACACAGGTTAAGAGCTTTTTAAAACGAGGCAATTAAGACATGGCTGCTGTCCAGAAACCTTTACCCTTAGGAGAAGGAGGTTGTTGCTAATGTGGTCATATATTTTCTCAGGTAGTGCGTCAGAGGTTGACATCCCTCAATTTGCACACATCCCCTGTGTCAGCATCAGGTTTTTATGAGGACTCTTTGGACGTTTGCCTGCTGGCCAGTATCATACAAATATGACCAAAGGACTTCTGCGTTTACCCCTTGCTTGGGTGCTTTCGTGCTTGATCGTCAACACTAAGCGACATTTGGACCTGAGAGTGAAGGTAGTGGTGCATTAGCCTTGTTGGAACAAGCAGTCAGATCAATATTACAGAAATGCAAGGCAGCACTATTGTGTGATTGGCAGTGCAGGTATCAGGTTTCTTAGGTTGTCCGGGTCCTGTGTCAGATATGTGATTTTTCAAAGAACTCAGCTTTACATATGTGCAAAATAGCTGAAAAGGAATCGTTTGAAAAAACAAGTAGAAAACAAAGACTGCAGAAATATTTCCAGATCATGCTTCCAGTGTCTACAGGTCTGGATAGGCATGTCTCCTCCAGCAAAGGAACAAAGATATCAGGTATCAGGACAAATATTTTTAGGTGCAGACTTAATCTTTGCTCACTTTGAAAGCATTTACTTCACATGGCAATGAATCGATTGAGCAACAATAATTGCCATTAATTTATCCCACTTAGCACTGGTCATTAAAACTAATTTAATAGGGAAGTATC